CGCGGTGGCGCGCCCGGCCCCCGCCGCCGCTGGCCTCCCTGCCCGACGGCGCCGGGAGGCCTCGGGACTCCGCCACCATCCCAGCAGCCCCGGAGCAGGCGAGCGGCGCGCCACGTGCTCTCCCAGAGCCGCCTCCCCTGTCCCCGCTGCCGTCCATTTTGGAGTCGGGCAAATAAGCCACGCGAGGCCTACCCTCGCTCCGCACCACGCGGGGACCGCCGACTGCAGAACCGCGTCGGCCACGCAGAGCTGCACACCCCTCCCACTGAGGCGCCTCTCGAGAAAGACCGTGCTCTAGTGCGGGGGGAATTTATTACTTAGCCCGAGTCCAAGATGGCGACCTGTGGTGACGTAAGCAAGATCTCGTGAGAGCTCGAGGCCGCGATTTATGGGCGCCCGCGCTTCCGCCTGAGGGGCGGGGCTCCCCACGGAGCTGGTGTCTGCGGCGGCGAACTGCGAGCGGCGGGGAGCGAGGGGCGTGATCGCGCCATGTGTGCTGGGACCGCCTCTCCGGGGCGGGGCCTACTCCAGAACCGAGCGCGGGACGGATGAAAATACGCCGCCTGAAAGTTTCCCGCCTGGAGGGACCAGAGCCGAGCGGCTTCCGAGGTGCCGGTCCTTGCGGTAGGCTGGCCTTTCATGAGGTCGTCTTTTCCCTGACACAGACACCGCCCGAGGGCCCACCCGGGGCGGAACGGGAGGCCGCCTTCCCGGGGTCATGGAACCGCCGCTAGCCGGCTCCGGCCTACGACCGGGCACGTGATCCCTTGTGAAAGTGGATTTCCACCCCTGTAAAACGGGGTCATAATAGTACCCCGGTTAGAGGTGTGAGGATGAGACGAGAAACATCCATGCCGGATACTTAGGAAGTGGCCGCTCGGGGGTGGGCTTGGTCGTTTGCCTGTTAACTATGCTCCTCCCTTCGTGGGCGTTCCATTTCAAATCGGTGCGGGGACGTCTTCTCTCAGTCTTCTAATTCACATTTCATAGTCTTGCTTTTATGGTATTTCCTGGGAAATAGCTTTGTCCACACATGTTGAAAAAGTGTATTGAATATGATTTTGGTGTGCAGTGTCATTCTAATGCAGCTTTCACATTGGTTCAAATAACATACCTGGTCCCTAATACCTCCTCTCTTTGTTAGGGATACAGAAATTAAATAGGCCATCAACCTTGCAAGGAGAGAGAAGTAAAAAAGAAGTCTGAAGATGAAGGCATTTCAGATCATTTGCAGACATCTCAGAAATTCAAGGTTTTTTTTGGTACAACCAGCCCCCCTTGTGGATTTTTCTACTTCCTCTTATTCATGGGGCCGTAAGAAAAAAGGGAACCCTTATGAAGAAGTGGACCAAGAAAAGTATTCTCATTTGGTACAGTCTGTCTTGTCATTCCGAGGCCTTACTCAGACCCCAGAATCATTGTTCCAAGAAGATGCATTACTCTATGGACCCGTGAGTAATCATAAGTCCCCAACAGAAGATGAAAGGAGAGTTCCACAAAACTGGTTTCCTATCTTCAATCCCGAGAGAAGTGAAAAACCAAATACAAGCCATCCTTCTGTGCCTTTGAAAATCCCTTTACAAAGGAAAGTGATACCAAGTGTGACCCGGGTTCTTCAGCAGACCATGACATCGAAACAAATTTTCTATTTGGAGCGGTGGAAACAGCGGATGATTCAGGATCTGGGAGAAGATGGCTTTGCAGAGTATACTTCAAGTAATTCTCTCATTCCTGGTTCTGTTTATTTACTATGTTTTCTAGAATGGAGACCACCATTGTCAATAGAATGAGGCTTCTTAACCTTTCTAGTGAAAAAATACTTTCAAATAATAATTACTAGCATAAGGCAACACTTTATATATATTTACTTCATCTTCATGCTAACGCTGGGGGGCATATACCCATTTTACAGATGAAACTGAACCATAAAAGTCAAGTCATTTGAGTAAATGATACGCACAGTTTGTTTCATAAGCTACAAACATTGGAATTGCTTATTTTTCTTGATTATGAAAAACGGTCACCTGATAAGAGTCTAGTTTACTAAACCTTCTGTTCAGAATTTAGTAAATACCCATGGCTCCACATCAGTGTCAACTGAGTTTGTTAAGTTTAAAGTTCCTGGCAACAAGCCAGAGCACATGATTTATATCTAGATCTTAATAAGTTGAGATAAATCAGATGCTGTTAGGCCAGGGTTCAATTTCTGGTCCAACCTGGAGGCTGGGCATGGAGAATGTGCCTATAATCCAGCTACGGAGACCTGGCAAGACGCAGTCAGAATACCTGCCTTAGTCTCTCCTCTTCTCCCTCTATCTCCGTGGTCACATGTTTCAAAGAAAAATGCTAAGTATATATTGGTGGTACCTGGATTTGGCAAAAATGGTCGCACGTGCTTCAGTTGCATGGGATGAGGAATTCATGCAGGGGCTAACTGCCACCTTAGGCTTGATTGTCAGTAACAACCACCCACTTTCTGTTTTCTAAATAAGCAACATAAAAAGCTTTTAATGGCATTTTACAGTGTTTTATTTATACCTCTTGAATTTTAAATGGATACTTTTGATTTTCCTTAAGTCAGGGATGTCACAGTCTTCTGGAATGCTCAGATTACCGGTAAGAAAAGCAAAGGCAGAGGCTGGTCCATGGTGTGATTAGGGTGGCTGGATCCCACATTGCCAACAGTGTTGTTTGTGAGTATGCCTCAAACCCAAGCAGAATGTAGAAGGGATTGTGGCTCTCTACCTGCCACCCCCACCCTCCCGGCCCATCTATAATAAGTTAAAAAATAAAGGCAGAAATCTGCTGGGACATGTTGAACCCTAGGGGTTGTAGCTCTTGGCACAAGGTAAGGAAGTGCTATGGTGGCTTTCTAGATAGAGAGGAATTTCTGTTTGGAATATGAATGAACCACAATATCCCAGGCAGAGAGGAAAAACAAAGGTGGTTTTCCATGCCATTCTGCTTGATTAACTCAGTACCAATCTTAAGAAATGAGCAGAATTACTCTTAAAATGAATAATTAATTGCATGCAGATTAGTGTATGGCCCCCCCAAAAAATCCAGAAAAAGTGAATCAGAACTCACTGAATGGATTAATGGAACTGGAGAGGCATTCTCCTCAATACTGGAGTCATCCATTCCTATCTGCCTGGTCTTACCTGAGGCCAGAACATAGAGATATGCCCAGAGCTAGCATCAGTCAAACATTTAAGCAGTTGCTCACGCATCGGTTCACGTTTTGAAGACTGGCAAGGATGAGAAGGTCTAGCTTACTCTGAGTTATATTTAAGCATTGATTATAATGGAAAGGGCTTAGCTTTATTTCTTAATCCTAAAGTAACAGGCATCTTGCTAGTTATATCAGAATATCATGACCCTTTTTTAATGCACTTCATGTTCTGCTGGGAAACATTTCACTTTCTTTCCTTTAATTTATTGAGTAAATACTCCAATACTACCTGCAATAAATCTTATTATTGAATCATTTTTAAATTTATTTATTTTAGTTTTTGCTATAGGGTATGTGTGCCATCCCAGGGGAATGGCCATGCTACAATCCCCTCTCCAGGCTACTATAAGGATTTGGGTACACACACATGTGCCTGGTTTGATTTTCAAGTCACCAGTCTGGGACTTGAACTAAAAGATGGCTGCGTGGGATCCAGTGCCTCAACCACCATGCCACCTCCTAGCCCCTAAATTTTTTTATAAATTGAATCATGTTTAATGTTCTGACCTTTAGATTTGAGGACTCCTGTAATCTAGATTCTATATTTGTGGTCATGTTTACATGAAGAACATAGCTAGAGGTTAAGTTTACAGTTGGGAATGAATTGTCTGCTTGCCTAACAGTTAGTACAGGCATCTTTTCCCCTCTTTTTTTTTTTTTTTTAAATTTGCCAGAGGATACCACCAGATGGAGGGAGAGATGGAAGGTGAGGAAGCAACCCCCATGGGACATGGTCATGCTACAATCCCCCCCATACACCAGGTCTTTCCCTCCTTTCAAAATTTTGGGTACTCATGCACACATACCCCTTGTGTTTTTCCAGCCACAGGTTCTGGGACTGGAATGCACATGCCTTGTGGGAATCCAACTGCCTTGACCACCACATCACTGGCAGACCCAGTGCCTTATTGTTTTTAATGTCTTCTGCTTCATTAAGCTAGTCTGTAAGTCCTTTCTCCTTAGGTTTTAATTCCTTCCATCTTACATTTTTTGTGAGTCTTTGATGTGCTAATAATTTTAGCGAGCCAAGTAGAATAACTTAGTTCCTAAATTGAATTTTATTTAACTCTCGCAAGTAATTTTCCTAAATCAATTTCACTTTTTTACCAAAGGAAGAACTGACCTTTCAAAGTCTTTGTCAAAAAAAAAAAAAAAAAAAAGACTACACAATTATAAGCCTGGTTTACCTCATTGGATGAGATATTCCTCTTTTTCTGTGGGTCCATCTCTAATCCTGCGTATTTCCTTCTCTGTTTCTGTGTGTATCTAGAGGGTGGTCTCTAACTGGTGCCAAGCTGAAGGTCCAACTTTCTGCTTTTGTTCAGGCAGGGCCTCTTTCCTTAAAATGTAGAGTAATAACCCTTATTTTGTTAGTTTATTGTGTTTCAAAATTAAATGATATTTTGAATGCACCAAGGTTGCTACTTAACATAGTAACACCACTCTTGATTCCCTTAAGAATCAAGTGACTATATTGCTTGATTAGTAGAATGTTTTAGTGTTCCCTTTTCTTGAGTGTATATGAATAAAAAATCTCAGAACACAGCAACTGTCTCAGACTGTTCCAGCACTAACGTAGAGGGGGAGAGTGTCACATTACATATTTTCCTCTCTGTCCTCCCTCCAAATCTCACATTCAGTTTATTTTTAATTTTTGTGCGCCATGGTTTTCATTCCTTGCCAGTCACTTGCAATCCTGTAAAGAAAAGACTTTCCCCCACCTATGTTTATATTAAGTTTGTTTGTAAAAAGAATTGTACACAGAAATACAGTTTTTCAAGTTTCTTTTTTTAAGAATTATTTTAACTTTATTTATTTATTTACTTATTTATTTTAATTTGACCAGAGAGGGACAGAGTACGAGAGAGAGAGAGAAAGTGAGAAAGCAAGCTGCCAGGCCCAGAGCTCAAACCGCAGTCGGCCGTGGGATTCCAGCACCCTTAACCACCGTGCCACCTGCCAGCCCCCTTTTTTTTTATTGCCAGATGTGCATGTGCACCTGAGAGAGGGAAAAAAGCACCTCCCCATCCCCATCATGCTGCAATCCCTTCATCTTCATTTCTCCATCCTGTCAGAATTTGGGCACACACACGTACCCAGATTGTTTTTCAGGTCAATAAGGCCAGGATGCAAACTTGCTAGGCAGGTGGGATCTGGTTCCATTCATCGCTAGGCTATAGGACTAGCCTGTTTCCCAGATTTTTAATGGCATTTATCACAGTAGCTAACTATTGGGTTGTTGGAAAAGTCATGATAACATTTTTACATTAAAAAAAAAGTTACAACTTTTCCCAAAACTTCATATTAGACTAGGTATTTAAATACACAATACCATAAACTAGATATGGTCCTATAGCCCCTAGATCTTCATTCTAGCTTTGGCCTAATTCCACTAGAAATATTTTAATTCATGTTATTCCCTGAACTATTCTAATCCCTCTGGTTTTCAAAGTGTATTTTTGGATTTCATAAGCTCAAATATGGTGTCAAAGAGGGTTGTCACTTTTAAGTAATTTCTGTATTTAATGTTCAGAAGTATCTTAGTATCTTTTTTTGTATTTGTTTTTTAGTACTAGCTTTGAGTTTTGTTTTGCTTGTTTTTTCTTTTTCCCTTGATTTTCTTTTCAGACATCTTTTTACAAGGCAAACAGTTCCATGAATCCTTGGAAAGCATTCTTTCACCCCAGGGAACCTTAAAAAAGAGAGATGAAAATCTTGAATCTGGCTATATTGAAAGTGTCCAGCATATTCTGAAAGATGTCGGTGGAGTTCGAGCTCTCGAAAGCGCTGTTCAGCATGAACACTTAAACTATGTGGGTCTGCTGGACTGTGTGGCCGAGTATCAGTAAGTATGAGATTGTTTCCATCACAATGTGGAAGTGAATTAGTGCAGAGTGGGACAGATGGTGCTGCTGAAGGTACTTTTTCCTCTTAACTCTTACTTCAAGGTGTTCCTGTAGTTACTGTGGCCTCTTCCTCTTTAAATTCAAGACCTACACAGTAAGTAAAAGAATAGGGTATAGAGGGGACCAGCAGATAGTGTAAGGGTTACGTCGCTGGATTCCCATGTTGTTGACCGTGGTTCGAGTCTCGGACCTGGTGGCTTAAACTCATGCCGGGCGCATGTGCATGCATGCCCAAGATCATGAGAGGAGAATGGAGGAGAAGGGATTGTGGCGTGGCATGGCTGGGGATGAATTCTTGCCTTCTGTCTCTCTCTGTCTTTCTGGCGAGCGCACGCACCCTATAGCAAAAATCTCTCCAAAAAAAAAAAGAATAGGTTGTAGAGGCAGAAGGTGACAATAGATAGGGTACAGGAGCTATGTAATCCTTGTCAGTCCTAAAGTCAAACTGTTTGATAGAGAAAACAATTTTTCTGTTTTACATCCTATGTGCCTCTTCTCCCAAGCAAGATACTGGCCTTAAAATTCTTTTTGATTCCTACATTTTCTTTCCTGTTTTCTTAAAGATAGTACCATGATCAGTAGGTTCTGAAATGCAGCTCTTTTTCTGGCTTCCAGGCAGTGGTTGTTTTTAAACGGCTGCGGCAATACTGTTTTTCCAGTTACTCCAGATTCCAAGAGTAGCTATAACCTGCAGGTTCCCCTATTTCGATTAAAGCACTTGGGCAATAAGAATAGGATGAGGAGAGAAATCTTTGCATGCAACCCTTGGAGCTCTAGATAAATTGAAATGTTGATGAAGCATTCATTCATCTGGAAATTGTGTTCAGACCATGCAACACCTTGTGCCATTAGCTGCCTCCTATTTGAGAGGAGCCCTGCCTGCCAAAAACTTGAATAGGATGATGTGGGCTGCCTGTTTGATTAACTAAGGGAGTCAGATAGTTGTTTCCACCTAAGGCCTGTAAGAAGTTTCTGACACAGAATTATTTGCATCGGGATTATAAAATACAACCACATTGCTATTTATGTGGTTCTTGCTCTTTGAGTAAGAGTAGGAACATTGAGAATATGAACATGTTAACATTTTTGAAACTATGATTTGAAGAACTTAAAAAGAATTTTTAGTGGGTACTTGAGGCACTTGGTTAATTCAAGCTATTAAAAGTGAGTCTCAGGGTCAGCAGGTGGCACAGAGGCTAAGGTACTGGATCCTACAAGGCCAACTCTATGATTCCAGTCCCAGACCCTGCAGCTTGAAAATCACGCCAGGCCCAGGTGCATGCATGCCCAAAATTTCAAGAAGAGAGTGGAGGAGGAGGGATTGAGACGTGGCCATGCCTTTGAGAGTGATTTTTCATTTTCCCTGTCTCTCTGGAGAGTTAACATGCCCTATAACCGAAATAAATAAATAGAGTGAGACTGAGACCAGCCCATGACCTGGTGGATAGGGCAGCCAGATCTCACGTGGCTGACCACTCTGTTCAAGTCCCAAGACCACTCTGTTCAAGTCCTAAGCCTGGTGGCTTGAAAAACACACTGAGTGTGTGTATATGTATGCCCAGAAATCTCAAAAGGAGAGAGAATTAGAGAAGAAAGGATTGCTGTATGACCTTCCCCATGGGGGTACCTTCTCCCTCTCTTTCTAGCAAGCACATGTTCCCTCTGGTAGAAATTTAAATGTGCAAAAACAGTCTCAGCCCAGATTCTTGTGCAGTCAGTAGCGTACTAGACTGTGGAGGTGGAAGCCAAATGCTGACCATGTTTGGGCCCAAGCCCTATCTACTCAAAAACATGCCAGACATGTGCATGTGTGCCCAGGATCCTGGCAGCCTGTAGGAAAGGGAGCCGTGGTGTGACCAAGCCCTGTGGCGGTTACTCCCGTACCTCTCCCTCTGCCTTTCTCTCTGTTTCCCTCACTCTCTCTCTTGCACACCTGTGCTGTATCATGAACTTAGACGTCTTAGCCCAACACTGGTTTACACTGCTGCTCACAAGCTGTAGTCATATGGTAGCCCCAGGTTTGTCTTCCAGCCCATCCTCAAGGCTGGGCACAGTGGCATGTACCTGTACTCCCAGGGCTTCAGGATAATCTTTTTTTTTTTTTTAATCTTAACAAAAAGTCTCCCACATTTACTCTGTATTTAAATTCTTTACAAAGTTATTGTGTTCCTGAGACATTTTATGACCATATGCACAATCATTTCTTCCCCCCTCACTTTTTTTAATTTCCTGAGAGCTGTAGACAGAGAGGCATCTCCTCAACAGGGTCTTATGTTTGTTTTGGATGGGTAATATATACAGCAGTGTTAAATTCAGTTGGTCTGAAGTGAGTCTCGGCAGGAGTACCTCTTAGATCTCCCAGGCACTTACCACTTGCACCCAGGATATCAAGCCATTGCTCTCTGGTACTTGCCTAAATGTGCATTTTTAATTACAGTAGATATGAGTGCTCTTATTTGTGAACACCTTTAAAACATAGTGTTAGTAATTTTGATGACATCGTTACTTTCAGTATACATTTCATAGAAGTAAGGCTGAGCAGCTTTTCTTTTCGTTTAATAACTATTTGTGAACCGTCTTTCTGCAATTTTAATGAGGGTCTATGTTGTTATGAATCTAAAAACTTGTTATTCTTATCTTCGACAAGCTCTTGTATATATGGGGTAAAATGTGATGTTTTGATATATGTATACATTGTGGAAAGATTAAATCAAACTAATTAACATGCCTATCATTTCACCTGCTTTCATTTTTCTGTGTGTGTGATAAGAATCTTTAACATTTACTATTTTTACAGTTTTAAAATGTATAATACATTATTATTAACTATGGTCCCCATGCATATAATAAATCACTAAAATTGTATTTCCTAACAGAAACTTTGTGCTCTGTGACCAACATTTCCCCTTTCCCCTTTCCACTCCAGCCTCTGGTAACCACCATTCTACCCTGCTTTTGACTTAAACTGTTTTAGATTCCACATGCAAGTGAAACCAGTTAGTATTTGTCTTTCTGTTCTTGGCTTACTTCACTAAGCATATGGCCTCTGGGTTCATCTGTGTTGCAAATAACAATTTTCTTCTTATTTAAGGTTGAATAGTATTCAATTGTGTATTTATACCACATTTTCTTTATCCATTCATCCACTGATGGACACTTGGGTTATCTTTTGTAATTTTGATAATAGCTGTTTTTATTTACTTATTTTGCTAGAGGGTGGTTGTGCTCACCGGAGAAACAGACAGGCAGAGGAGAAAACACTCTGCCATGAGAAATGGTCACACCATAATTTTTTCTCCATCTCTCCCTCTTAGATTTTGGACACCCATGCATATGTATCTGGTGTGTTTCTCAAGCCTCTGGGTCCAGGACTCAGGCCACATGGTTGTTTATGTGGGATCTGGCTCCCTTAACCTCCAGGCCATGAAGCTGACCTGATAACAGCTATTCTAAAAGGTGTGAAGTGATATCTTGTTGTAGTTTTAACGTGCTATTTCCTGATAGTTAGAGATGTTCATTGTTTTTATAGATCTGTTGGCTATTCATATCTTCAGATCCTTTTGTCCATTTTTTTTAAAGAATGTCATTTTTATTTAATGCCATTGTTTTATTTTTTAATTTTTTTTTAGTTTGACCACAGAGAGACAAATAGAAGGAAAGTGAGAAAGCAAGTTGCCAAGTCCGGGACTTGAACCACGGTCAGCCATGTGGGAGTCCAGCCACCATAACCACTACACCACCTGCTAGCCCCTATTTTTTTAATAGGATTATTTGTTCTCTTGCTACTGAGTTGTTTGAGTTCCTTACATATTTTGACGATTGACCCCTTATCAGATCGATGGTTTGTAAATATTTTTTCCCATTTTGTGAGTTGTCTCCTTGTTAATTATTTCCTTTATTGGTCAGAAGCTTGAGGAAATCACATTTGTCTATTTTCGGTTTTGTCGTGTGTGGTTTTAGGGATCTAGCCAAGAAATCTGTTGCTCAAACCAATGTCATGAGACTTTTTCTCTATGCTTTTTCCTAGTCACTTTAGTTTTAGGTCTTTATGTTTTTTATTTTGAGTTGATTTTTGATTTTTGTATATGGTTTGAGATAAGGGTCCAACTTTATTTTTTTGTAAGTGAGTGTCAAGTTTTTCTAATGCCATCTGTTGAAGAAACTGTCCTTTCCTTATTTTTTTAAAGAATTATTTATTTAGGGAACCAGCAGTTAGCGTAATGGCTATGTCGCTGGACTCCCATGTAGTCGACCGCGGTTCGCGTCCCGGACCCGGTGGCTTAAAACTCACGCCGGGCGCATGTGCGTGCGTGCCCAAGATCCTGAGAGGAGAATGGAGGAGAAGGGATTGCGGCGTGACCATGCCCCCTGGAGGGTGATTTCTCACTTTCTGTCTCTATGTCTCTCTCTGTCTGTCTGGCGAGCGCACGCGCCCTATAGTGAAAATCTCTCAAAAAAAAAAAAAAGAATTATTTATTTAATTTTATTTATTCATTCATTTATTTTAATTTGTCCAGAGAGAGACAGAGAGAGAGAGAGGAAGTGAGAAAGCAAGCCACCAGATCCAGGACTCAAACCGTGGTCAGCGCCATGTGGGAGTGTCTAGCACCTTAACCACTGCGCTATCTGCTGGTCCCTGTCCTTTCCTTATTGTGTGATCTTGTCATCTGTGTTGAAAATCAGCTGACTATAAATACATAGATTTTTTTTCTGGGCTATATCCTGTTCCATTAGTTGGTATATCTGTTGTTATGTCCGTACCATGTTGTTTGATAACAATAGCTTTATAATATATATTGAAATCAGGAAGTGTGATACCTCCAGCATTGTTCTTTTTGCTCAAGATTGCTTTGGCCGAGGATAGCAGATGGTGTAATGGTTAGGTTGTTGAACTCTCATGTAGTTGGCCATAGTTTGAGTCCTGGACCTGGCAGCTTAAAACTCAACACTGGGCACATGTGCATGTGTGCCCAAGATCCTGAGAGGAGAATGGAGAAGGGATTGCGGCATGGCCATCCTCCCCTTAGGGGAGTGGTATGATTTCTCACTTTCTGTCTCTTTGTCTCTCTGGCAAGTACATATACCCTATAGCAAAAATTTCTCTCAGAAAAAAAAAAAAAAGATTACTATTTGAGATCTTTGTGGTACCATACCAAAAAAAAAAAAAAAATTGTTTATTTATTTCTTCTATGAGTGAAAGAGATAGGGAGAGAAAAAGATAGGTAGATAGATAAATACAGTATCTTCAACAGGGCCTGGACACAAACACTGCAATTCACTGCCAGTCTTTAGCCAGCCCCAGATCATGGGCACATGCATGCTCAACATATCCAGGTAAGTCTCCAGACTTGGATCAGGAACTTTTGATGTGTGTACCCCGTGCACTCCATACAAATTTTAGGGCTTTTTTTTTAAGAATTATTTAATTTAATTTTACTTATTTTAATTTGACCAGAGAGGGACAGAGTGAGAGAGAAAGTTGAGAAAGCAAGCTGTCAGGTCCAGGACTTGAGCTGTGGTCAGCCATATGTGGGAGTCCAGCGCCCTTAACCACCATGCCACCTGCCAAACCCTAGGATTGTTTTTTATTATTTCTATGAAAAGTGACATTGGAATTTTATACTTTGGGTAGTATGAGCTTTTTTTTTTTTTTTTAAACTTATTTTTTATTTTGACCAGAGAGGGACAGAGTGAGAGAAAGGAAAGTGAGAAAGCAAGCTGCTGGGTCCGGGACTCGAACCACAGTCAGCCGAGTAGAAGTCCAGCACCCTTAACCACCACACCACCTTCCAGCCAGTATGAGCATTTTAACAATGTTAATTTTTCCAATCCATGAATCTAGGATATCTTACCATTTATTTGTGTTGTTTACTTTATTTATTTTTTATTATTTATTTTATTTACTCATTTATTTATTTTAATTTGACCAGCGAGAGAGACACACAGAGAGAGAGGGCAAGTGAGAAAGCAAGCCACCAGGTCCAGGACTCGAACCATGATCAGCCATGTGGGAGTGTCCGGTAACTTAACCACCATGCCACCTGCTGGTCCTGTATTTGTGTTGTTTCCAATTTCTTTCATCAATGTTTTGTAGTTTTCAGTATGCTACTAAGATTTTTTTCATTTTATTAAGTTCTGCTGCAGTTATAATAAATTGATATGAACAGTGGGCCATCTTTTTATTTTGCGTTGGCTCCATGGTGCAGCAGTAAGGCACTGCTCAAAAGAAGCTAGAGCCCACATGGCAAACATGTTTCAAATCCCTGGTCTGGTCAGCATAAGACATGTTGTGCACAAGTGGGAGTGCCCAAGATTCTACAGGCTTGAGACCTGGAAGAGAGAGATTACAGCATGACCAGACTCTGGAGGGTGCTCATCTCTGTCTCAGCCTCACATGTGCACACATATGCCTTACCATGAATAAAGAGAAAGTAAATAAATTTAAAAATACAAACCTTTCTCAAAGAAAAGGCATTTTGATTTTTTCAAACGAGAGAACCAAGAACAGCAGTCATTAGGGTCTTATTTGCATAGATTGTTACCCGTGGCAATATTATAAAGCAGCACTACCGGCACTGGTAGAATAGCTGCCAAACACATGTGGCTAATTTTGAGCACTTGAAGGTGACCAGTCTAAACTGGTATACTGTAATTCTGTATAAACCAGATTTCAATAACTTAGTACAAAAAAAAGTAAAATGTCCCATTAATAAATTAATTATACATTGAAATGATAATATTCTGGATGTGTTGAGTTAAATAAAATATTAAGTTTTAATCTGTGACCTTTTCTCCATTTTGATGTTTCTACTAAGAAAAAAATTTTTTTATGGAGAGAGATTTTGCTATAGAGCACATGTGCTCTCTGAAGACACAGAGATAAAGAAAGACAGAAAGGGAGAAATCATCCCCAAGGGGGGATGGTCATGCTGCAGTCCTTCTCCATTCTGTTCTTGGGATTCGGGGCATGTTCCCAGCATGAGTTTCAAGCTGCTGGGTCTGGGATTTGAACTATAGTTGGCTATGTGGGAGTCCAGCACCTGGACCACTATACCATCTGCTAGCCCAGGAAATTTTAAATGATATACATGGCTCTTATTTATTTATTCTAAATGTATTTATATCCATGAGAGAGAGAGACAGAAAAATAAAGCTAGAGACAAGCACCCCTAACAGGTCTCAGCTCCAGCCTCAGTCACCCAGATCATGTGTGTACCCGACATATATAGGGAGGCCCTAGGTTGTAAACCTGTGAACCTGTGACCTTACTGTGTGAGTCCATTTGCATTACCACCTTGCCACTGTCCGGCCCCACATTTTATTTCTTTGAAACAATGCTGCTCTAGACTGTTCTTAAAATAATTTATGTAAGTTACACCTCTACATAGAGCTATAGTGACATGTAAGTAACACACACTTCATACAAAATCTCCCTGTGAACTGTGGTTTTGAAATTGAAGCCATGAAAGACAAATTGAACAGATAGAGCCCTTTAACAGTTGCCAGCTGTCAGCCCACTTGCCCTGTGATCCTTTTGATATCCATAGTCAGCAAGAATAAAATCTCACCAGGAGGAGCGAGGAGAAATGGTTATTTGAGCCCCTCTCCCCCAAACTAAAAAAAAGGGGCAGGAATTGTTTCTCTTTTTAATTGTCCCAATATCCTAATAGACACTCATCTCTGTGTAAACTTTTAGGGTGGTGACAGGTTTTCATATTTGTGTTTTTTCATGTAGTTGGTGTCTCTCAAATGTCAATGGATTTGAACCCTAGCCTTGGTTTCTGAGCAAGAGAAATTTTGAAGCACTGTAATGTTTGATAATGGTAACTGCTACCAACCTGTTGTGTTTCATTGTGATATTTAGAGCAAAATCATCCAATACAATAAAACGTTTCAGTTCCTGTGTCAACTGTTAAGGGAAAGGAGACTATGGGGATCCAAAAGAATTAAAAGAAAGTGTAGAAATCACAGCTTTCACACGGGCACTTCAGGCAGCATTTTGATCGTAGTCCCTGATGGGCTCAGAACTGACCTGAATTGAGGTCAAAGCCCGTTTTGTGAAGTGGAGAATAGAAGTAGCAGTCAGCTAAATAGTGCTGCTGTTGACTTGAGCGACAAGTAAATAGTAAACTGGGAGAGTTGGGCTGCTAGGTTTTCAAATTATTGCCTACAAAAGCTTCCTTTGGTTTCTCTTTAGGGGCAAGCTGTGCGTGATTGATTGGAAGACATCAGAGAAACCAAAGCCCTTTCTCCGAAACACATTTGACAACCCACTACAAGTTGTGGCATACATGGGGGCCGTAAACCACGACACCAACTACAGCTTTCAGGTCAGGACGCTGGGCCTCTGCCGACAGAGCTTCGCTCAGTGCTCGCTTACAGCTCCTTACCTCATGGTTTTTACGGCCACTTACTCTGTTCCTGTCCTCCCACTTTAGAAAGAAACCCCTTCTGACCTTTTTTATTTTAATAGTTCTTTAATGGTCACAGTGCATTCTTCATTGTTTTATCTGTCATCGTTGTGTTCTCAGGTGTCCTGGCGAAGTCTTTGAGCAGCCCACGTAGAAACTGAGTTAGGAGATGTTAGTGTAGATTATTTCATACTGATAGTGTGTCCTGAACTAAGAAGTAAACTGGATTTGTCCTAAAGTAAGAAGTTAACACACCTAAATTCTGTTGAAATACTGCAATTGCCCTGTGTTTCTCTTTAGGTCCAACGTGGCTTAATTGTGGTGGCCTACAAAGACGGATCCCCCGCCCACGCCCATTTGATGGATGCAGAACTCTGTTCCCAATACTGGACCAAGTGGCTTCTTCGGTTAGAGGAATATACAGAAAAGGAAAAGAGCCAGCACATTCAGAAACCAGGTTAGGGAGCAAGACACCATTTGGGAACATTCAGATTTTCTCATAGTTTAGGAAGATTTATTGCTGTTCACTTTGACTAAAAATGGGGGTACCACTGAGTCTGTGATCTGCGTTAATACAAGCAGAAGTATTAATTGGTTGAAATTTAGTGCCACCACAAAAACCAAGAAGCCAGAAAAGTCTAGCTCTAAAGAACCGGACTTCAGGACCAGCAGTTGGCATAATGGCTATGTCGCAGGACTCCCACATAGCAGACCACGATTTGAGTCCCGGACCCGGTGGCTTAAACTCAAGCCAGGCACGTGTGCATGCATGCCCAAGATCCCGAAAGAAGAATGGAGGAGAAGGGATTGCTGCATGGCCATGCCCCTGAGGGGTGATTTCTCCTTTCCTCTCTCTCTTTCTGGCAAGCATACACAGCCTATAGCAAAAAAACTCTCAAAAAAAAAAAAAGAACTGGACTTCAGCGCACAAAATACCAATTTTGATACGTGTGAGTATTACTCACCTGAAGAGAGGCAAAGCAGGATTGCAGTCAGGCTCGTGTTCCAGGCAGGGTGCCCAGACTTTGAATCAAGATTGGAAGGCAGGGAGACTTGGTGTGCCAAGCATTTCCCCAGGGTTGACCAGGAGGGAAGGGATCACACACCTCCAGGGTATATGAGGAAAGAGCACACACGTCACCCAGCTACCACTGACTGCACGGGGTCTTGAAACATGCGAGGGTCCTCTGTGTTTTAGCTGGGGAAAAAAAGCTTAATGTCTAACTTTTGTTGTTAAATATGTGATTACTTAGCCTGTATTACATATTGCTGTCTAAAAAAATGGACCGTATTCACCATGTCATTGACATACCACCTTAACATACCACCAGATTACCCCCAAAAGCCAGACACCAGTTTGAAAATCATAAATGTATGTGCTTTAGTAGATATTTTTCATGTGAATGAATGGATAATGTATGTAGAGAAAATTATGATTTGTGTAATTTTTAGCAATTTGTGTGTGTGTTTGGTAGAAAATAAAAATTATGGGACCAGCAGATGGCATAATGGTTACATCACTGGACTCCTACATAGTCAACCATGGTTCAAGTCCTGGACCCGGCAACTTAAAACTAATGCTGGGTGCATGTGCGTGTGTGCCCAAAATCCTGAGAAGAGAATGGAGGAAAAGGGATTGCGGTATGGCCATCCTTCCACAGAGTGATTTCTCTCTTATCACTCTTTCTCTGGGGAGCGTATGTGCCCTATAGTAAAAATCTCTCTCAAAAAAGAAAAAGAAAAGAAAAATGATTTGGTTTGGGTTTGGGAAACCCAGTGCCCTGTATAGTCTTGGGGAAAGGGTTCCTGTTTCACGGAGTGGATCTGTTAGCATTGAAGAGAAGGTACAGTTGCTGCCTTAAAGTAGTATTCTACTACTATCACTTTTTTTCTTTCATTAGTCATCATTTATAGGAAATAAAATACAAGTTATGAGTAAAGAGGCTTTTGGTATTGCTTATTTTTATTTAAATGTGTGTGTTCACATGGGAAGGTTCTGGGTTCCCATTTGGAGACCCCGAGGACTCCAGGCTCATTTGTGCCCATGGTCCATGGCTGCCGAGACTAGAGTGGGTTGCAAGATCTGTTGGGTGTGCTATCTCTCTCGCTCTCTCATGGAAGATATAAAACTTTGAAAATAGATCATAAATAATTATGTATGTTTATAGCACAACATTATAAATTTGGAAATTGTTTGGACTTTGTTTTTAATTCAAAATTGTACCACAAGCCCTGAAACTTTGGCATGCATTGTGTATAAATGCATAAAAGATGTCCTCACTAAGTTCTCAACCAGTGATCTAGGGGAAAAAAAAAGATTCTGACCAGCTCTAGGGACACGGCATTAACACGAAGCTTCACGATGCCAAAGCCACATGGGAGGTCCCAAGTTTGCATCCCAAGACCTCCCTCTGCATTCAGGGTATGTGTACATACCCACAACCCAGGCTGGCTGCTGGTGGATTACAGTGTGAAGACTCTGGCTCCTGTATCTCTCTGTCTCCTCTCATGGAATAAAGAACAATCAGTATACAATAAATGGGGGAGAGGGGGGTAAGATGCAGGAGATGAGGGACTGAGGGAGACTTCGTATTGTCTGTACTACTATGTCCGTGTGTTTTCTGTCAAGCAGCATGTATGTATGCCCATAGCGTGCAGTTTCCAGAGTCACCAGTATTTCCTAATTAAAGAGGTTTCTCAGGCCTCTGAGAAGGAAACATTGATGAAAAGTTATTGGTTAGTAGTAGTGGTTATGTCACTGGGCTCCCACATGGCCGACCACAGTTCAAGTCCTGGGCTCAGTAGCTTTAAACTGAAGCTGGGCGCGTGTGCATGCATGCCCAAAATCCCGAGAGGAGGGACCAGCAGTTAGCGTAATGGCTATGTCGCTGAACTCCCATGTAGCCGATCGAGGTTCAAGTCCTGGACCCGGTGGCTTAAACTCCCACTGATCGCGTGTGTGTGTGTGCCCGAGATCCCGAGAGAAAAACAGAGGACAAGGGATTGCGGCGTGGCCATCTTCCCTGGGGGGTGATTTCTCTCTGTCTCTGTCTCTCTTTCTGGCAAGTGCACAAGCCCTATAGCAAAAACCTCTCCAAAAAAAAAAAAAAAAAATCCAGAGA